TTCGATGCCCGTCGCCCACAAGACCGTGCTGGGAACAGGCTTCAACGATCCAGACAGGGTGTCAAATGCCATCACGTTGTCAGCGACCTCATCCATTGACTTGAAGAGGTATCCAGGCCGCATGTGGGTCCGAATCCACTCCTGTTGCAGATCTCCATGGTCGCAGCTGAAGAGGTGGCGGACGGAAAACTCCAAGCCGAAATCATCACGCCAATGTTGCACCAAGGTCTGCAAGACATCGATGATCAAATCTGTTCCAGAGCACCCCGTCGCAACAGGCAAACGCCCGTCGCACTCTCTGTGTATCTCGACCAGGGCCGATCGGAGCTGAGAGAACTGAGCAGGCGTAAGTTTATCCAACTGCCGCTTGACTATCTCGCCCAACTGATCTACAACGGGCTCCGAGTCCTGGCGGCTCAGGGGGGCTCGAAATGACCAGGGCCAAAGGGGGCGCGCCTCAAATAGGTCCATTCTCTACGAACCCAAACTGCAAAGCAACGGTTCGATCACTTCGGATGGTTGAAAGGGTGCAACCATTTAGTTGTAAATTGTTGTTATTAGTTGTTATTAGTTGCAAGGCGCGGGAGATTAGTTGCAAGGCCCCTGGTGCAAAACTGCCGGCTTGGGAAACCCTGTAAAAAACACACACAAACGCAAGCCTGGCACAAAAGTGCCGGGGCAAAAGTGCCGGGTGCAACTAATCAAAAACACGCACACAACTAATTACAACAAATCCCACGAATTGCAACTAATTGGAACACATGGCAAACATGCCGTTCAAGTTTGTTCGCCCTGAGTTTGGCGCATGCCACGCACTTGAGTGCCCCTGTACCTTAACCTGGATCCTGATGCGAGGCATCGATGCAAGTCTGCGCCGGCGCGACCTGGGAGATTGGCTCGAGGTCGGCCATGGCAACGCCCTCGACGGCCTCCGCTGGCGAGTCGTCGCAATCGCTCAGCCCGCCCAAGTAGTCCGTTGCGCCGTCGAAGTGGAAGGGCTGCTCCGTCAGCGGCGCGCCCAGCGAGTCGCGCGTCGCATCTGCGCCGCTGTCCTCGCTGGCGGCCGCGGAGGCACGGTGCCCGTCGACAGCGATAGTTGTCTCCTGCAGCGCGCCCAGCGGCACGTCGGTGCTGCCATCAACGGTGCCCCCGTTGATGCACGCATCGCCAGCCTCGTCGGCGGGGTCGGGGAGATGCTGCGCCTTCTTCCCGTCGACAACGGCGGTTGTCAACTGCAGCGCGCCCAGCGGCGCGTCGGTGCTGCCATCGACGACGGTGCCTCCGTTGACGCACGCATCGCCCTCCTCATTGGCGGAGTCGGGGAGATGCTTCGCCTTCTTCAAGGCAGGCTCATCGTCATGCTGACAAAGCTTGGGGACTTCACCTGGGCCATCGCCGGAGGCCGCCAAGGCGGGGCCGCCGCTGTCGCCCCGAGACGTCGACGCGCCGACGAGGACATCTGACTCAGGCGCTGCCGCCGCCATCTGCTGCGGAGGTCGAAAGGCAGCAGGGGCGACGAAACCGAACGAAGTCGGAGTCAGTCGCGACTGCCCCGACAAGGAGGCGGCAACCTTCAAGCTCTGCCGAGCGCGCATTGCTGGAGCCAAGCATGCGCTACGGACGTGGGCCACCGACGAGCACGAGGGCATGCATAACTACGCGCCCGCCCTAAGGAGAGGGCCGCGGGGGGCACGGGGCCCTCTGAGCCGCCCATCCTCCATATTCCGTTTCCTCCTCCGCCCCTCCCCCCTCTTCTCCAAAGACAACGGCTGCCGACCTCGTTGTTCCGCTGGGGCAATTCGCTTGGGCATGAGTTCTGGATGAGCTGGCCGCGCCATCCACTGAACTCGCTTACAATCGCCAGCGGGACGTGCAACAGGCGAAGCCTCAAATGATCGTGGCGCGGGGAAACTCAGACAAGAACAAACGAGTTCACAAGTTCGTCTCTCGGAGCAGGACTGGAGGAGAGCTAGAGGAAGGCGGCGGCGAGAAAGACATCGACACATGTTGTTTTCAGGGCGTCTCAAGGGGCTCACCATCTACGTCGTCGCCATTCTCATCCCGTTCCAACTCGAGGAAAGCACTCGCCCCTTCGCGGTGCTCGTGGTCTCGCCTGGCCTGACGCCTGACATCGTGGGTCAGGAGATGGAGCTGAAAACGATGACGATCGGCATCACCGCCGCAATCGAAGTTCAACAGAGCAACGAGGAGGCCGAAAAGGGCGGCGCGGCGAGGGGCGCCCCGTCAAGACCTCATGGGGGCGGGCAGCGAAAGAGACTGCCCCGTCATGCAAACAAAAATCTACTCCCCTCTCCTCTCCCGTATTCTCCTCCCCCCCCTCCTCCCCCTCCTCCTCCCCCTCCTCCTCCTTCTCCTAGAAAAAAAGTTGCGACGATTGGTGCCAAATTCGTCGTCGCCGCCCTCCTCCCCCTCGAAAAAATGTTGCAACGATTGGTGCCGATGTCTTCCTCCTCCTCCTCCTCCCCCTCATCCTACTCCTCCTGCTCGTCGTCGTCGTCGTCGTCGTCGTCGTCGTCCTCCTCCTCCTCCTCCTGTCTCCCTCCGCACCTCCCCCCCCCCCCTCCCTCCTCATCCCTCCTCCCGCATTCCTCCCACCCCTCTCCCCCGTCCTCATCGTCCTCCATCCTCCTCCATCCCCCTGCCTGGATCAGGCGGCGGGGGATGCGGCGGCGGCGGGGCGGGTGGCGGCCCTGGCTCTGGCGGCTCTGGCCCCGGTTCTCCAACGAGGCCGCCGCCGCCGCCGCCGCCATCTGGATGATCTGGAGGCTCATCGCCGCCGCCAGGATCGCCGTCCGAGTCGGCATCTGAATGAGGAACCTCCTCGACGTCAGGGCCCCCGTGTCCCTGGCGTCGTCGTGGGGGCCCAGGGGCAACCATCTCCTTCCTGGGGGCCTTCCTTTATTTTCTGTGCGGGTCGGCCCCAGGCCCCCTCAAATGATCGAGCTGGGACGTGGCCGCCGTGTTTTTTCTCTCTACTGGCGGGCGCACCAATGGCACGGGACCGCCGTTCAGTTCCAAAGAGAACGTGCCATTCGGATTGGCAAGCTCGTCGAAGTTACGCAAAGGCTGCACTTGGCACGTATCACCTCTGCAAGCTGACACGCCAAATCAAATTGAATTCTGAATGCGAATTGCGAATGGAGGAGGAGCAGGAGGATGGGGGAGGATGATGGAGGAGAAGGATGGAGGAGGAGGAGGAGGAGGAGGAGGAGGAGGAGGGGTAGGAGGAGAATGGGCGATGAAGGAGGAGGAAGAAGAGCAGGAGGAGGAAAATGATGATTACGAGGAGGAGGAGGATGAGGAGGAAGAAACACCAGTTCTACACGACAAGGGGATGGGGGGCTGTTGGGGCCCTCTGCGCGCCTTCTTCCAAGACGCCGAATTTATTGATCATAAGCTTGGCAAGCGCCCAGGAAGTCAAGTAGTCGTACATGCATGTGCCGGGCGGCTCCTGCCGAAGAGAGAACTCGTTGTCGGTCAAGCGCTGGCACCGTATCCAAACATGCGTCACCTGCGCATGGAATCGCCGTAGGCGCCCGTGGGAGAAGTACACGCATATGTCATCGTCGAAGAAAGTCTTCTTGCCGCCGAAGGCGATGTCCCCAGTACCTGCCAACAAGAAGAAACCTGCCAAGCGCCCCTCTGTGAAAAACGCTTCGAGGACAGATGCCAACGCAATGCAATCACCATATATCGCAACGCCCCTCGTTGCGCATAAGCCAGGATGCTTCTGCCCGCACGAAAAACGATGAAGATAAACTTCACCATCTCCTATCATCTGGGCGTCCTCGATCACTAGCGACTCTCGGGCGCCCCATCGGATCTGCTCCATCTTCTTGGCTATGCCGTCGCAGTGGCCAGTGCCAGAAGAGTCTTGTAAATATTTCAAAGCCGCCTCGGACACGGGCCACTCGTCGTCGCCGGGGTCCCACGACGGCGCGCTGAAATGGCCCGCCACCTCTGACGGCACGACGGCGTCCAAAGCCAACGCTTCCATGCTACCGACTGGCCGGCAACGGCTCTGTCGGAAATCGTTCTGTTGGGCAGGGCCCATCGCTCTCCATTCATTGAAAAGCCTGCGCCTCTCAACATCCAGATCGGCCTTGCTGCGCTCAGGATTGCTCCGCTCGTAGTCGTGCAGGCGCGAGAGGACGTACGCGGCGTCCAATCGATGAGGTCGGGCGAAATGAGGCTCGGAGCGTGGCACGTCCAACGGCGCGCCTGCTTTGGTCATGTCCGCCACAGTGGTACTCCGCATGTCCGCCTTGCCCGCTTTCAAATGCGCCTGCGTGAGTTGGGTCAAGAGCCCCAGGTATGCGAACTTCTCAGCGTTGCAACCTTTCTTGGTTGGGCGAGGCGCAGCTGCTTTCACCTGGGCAAGTAAACCCTCCAGCAACATATTGGTTGAGAGGCCGTGATGAGACAGATGCCTCAAAAAAGATTGGAAGCCAACTGCATCCAAATCCGCCCGACTGCTGACGCCCGCCCTCAACCACGACCCGCACCAAGAGTCCAAGCAACAGTCTTCCTCATCCCAGAACTCGTCCAACACCGCCCTGGCATCGTCGGGCGCACTGGAAGTCAGGGCGCCGCGGGCGAGTCGCCACGGCCAACTCCTGAGACGGCCCCGGGGAACAGCCCTCAAAGGAGGGGCGGAGGGGGGGCAGAAGGGGGATGATTACGAGGAGGGGGGGGGAACGAGGAGGGGGAGGAGAAGGAGGAAGAGGATGATTGCAAGTAGTACCTACTCAACGAGCTGACAACCCAGGAGGAGGGGGAGGCGACGGAGGGGGACGAGGGAGAGGGAGGGGGGGGGGAGGCGGGGAGGGAGGGAAGAGGAAGGAGGCAGGGAGGAGGGAGGAGAGAGGAGGGGGGAGGGAGGGGCCATGCCAAGGGCGGTCTGACGAGAATTTCAAAGGGAATCCAGCCGCGGCCGCGAGGGCCCCCTCCCCCCGAAAAAAAACTTCGGGGCGCCCATCCTGCATTTGATGTCCAACCTCGCCCATGCAGCGCTGGAAATGCGGAGCGTCCTCGCCCGCAACTCGTCGAACGCAGCTTGCCGGTCGAGGCCCTTGTCGGACTTCGCCAGGTGGTTGAGGACGCCGAACAATTTCTGGCAGTGGTTGGCATGGGAAGCCCACGGGTTCATCAGCTGCCACGTGTGATCATGGAAATCGCGCAGCACGCCAACATCCGAGACGAGCTCCCTCACGCCACCGCCGACGCTGTCAAGGTGCTGGAGGCGCGCGCTCAAATTGTCAAGCGCTTCAGTGCTGAACAGGCCAGCGCCCCATGGTTGTCGAGCTGCTGGCAGATCAGCCAAAGATTCCAAGGCCCTGTTCAATTTCTCGGCGCAATGCACCTGCCAACTGTCAGCCTCGTCGGCGCCAGGAAGCACAGCATCGTTATGAGCGGCGTCTCCATGTCCAAGTACAACGCCACGCGATGACAACTGATCCAGTACACGAGGCAAGATGCCGTGACACAAGATGCCGCCAGCCTGGACTGGCAAGTGAACGCCAAATGTGTGCCATCGCGTCACTGACGGAATGTTGGCTGCCAGCGGCTCGAGCCACGCTTGCTCGAGGCAAGCCGCTGTCCGCTCCACGCAGACCTCGAAGTTGCGGCCAGAGCAGCAGCCTGGTCTCCAGCAGAAATGCTGGATGCGGGGGGGCCACCAGCAACCGTTCAACATATGTCCGAGTTCTTCTGCTAAGTCGTCCATCTTGCGCTCGTGGGCCGGCGTGCGGATGCTATCAACGCGGCCACGAGTGGTCTTGAACCGCAGTAGTGTCAAGTCGATGAGTACCTTGTTCAAATCAGACTGCCCCGGCGGCGGATGCGTCTCTCGGTAGAAACCACCCTCCGCCAAGTCGGCCCGCACGATGTTCCGCAGAGCTCGGGCGATGATGGCGTAGTGTCTCTGGACAGAACATGTGAAAGAAATCGCATGCATGCGGGGGACGAACTCATGAGTCTTGAACGCAGCACTCACGATGCCGTGCAACACGTGCGCTGCGCACCCGACGTCGAGCAGCAAAATCACGCCACCGCCGCGCATCAATGATGCTGCATTGTGCTCGGCCAGCATGCACGCAATGGCCTGCTTCATCCTGGTGTTCGCAGAACAAAGGTCTCCCGTGACAGCAAGAAACACATGGTGGACGCGTTCTGTCAGAGCCATGAGCGATCCTATGTTGACATACGGGCAAGAGGCCTCCAAAGCCGAGAGCAAGTTCGACGCCGTTGACCGGGGCAAGAAGACTGGCCCGATCGCGGGCCTCTCGACTGACAAGACTTCCGTGTCACCCGCAAGCGTGACCCAAGAGCACCTGCAAGACTGTCCTAAGAGCTCGACTGTGCCCATCTTCGGCTCTGACCCCTTGCCACGGCGCTTCCACTCATCGTAATCGATCACCTTCCACATTGGATCTGCCATTCCACTAGCTACAGTAGCCGAAGACGTCGTTCCCCCTCTTAGGGCGACGAGATCTACACATATCCACTGCTCCTGGCCAGGCCCATCCTGGGCCCAGGAGCTGTGTATAATATACTGTATATGCCTCCCTGGCCAGGCCAGGAGGGCGTATACACCGCTCCTGGGCCCAGGATTGGCCTGGCCAGGAGCAGCGGATATGCATAGATCTCGTCGCCCTACCTCTGGCCCCCGCCGCTTCCCTCCACCAGTAGCGGGCCACGGGGGCCAGAAGCGGGTGCAGCTTGCCGAAGATGACCTTAATCGGCGTGGCGTCCAAGGCCCTCTCAACCATGTACCATTCCATTTTCAAGGAACCAGACGCGACGTGCAAGTTAGTGCAGGCGCCCTGAGCATGAACGAAACGGTTGTGCGCAACCGCTGCGGCTGCGATCGCATCCAGTTCACGCCGCGTCTTGCGCTTCCCCTGGGCGTTCGGGGCCAAAGCGCCGATGCTAGAGAAAGCAACGTGCAACGTGCCAAACAACGTCCATGCTTTTGAATGCTGCCAGACATTTCCCTTGCGGCGACGCTTGATGGCTGGCCCCTCTGCGAGCCGCTCGCCGCGGCCCAAGCTAGACCTCTTCCACATGGCATTGATGGCTGAGCGTCCCTGCCCATCTCTAATATCTCTCTTCGCCTTCGCCGCCATGGCCCGCTTCAACTGCTTCGTGATATTTTTCTTGTTCACGCCCCACTGCATCTTCCGCACCTGCGCAAACGCCGCATCCAAGCAACTCCCCAAGGGCTGCGACGATGGCCGGGGGGCGTCGGCCACGAGTCGCGAGACCTTGACGGCCCCAGCATCGGCGTCGTCGCCCTCATCATCTGGCAAAATGTCTAGGTGGTCGACGGCTGCGCCGCCGGCGGAGTCGCCCAGATCGGCTGCCGAGCCACCGCCATCGGCGTCGCCTGGATCGACAGGCGAGCCTAGGCCGCCCAGGGGCGTGACTGGCGCGGAATAGCCACCGTCGGTTGGCGCGTCAGTACCTCCGATTGGCGTGGGAGGCGCGGCTGCGCCACCATCGGCGTCGCCTGGATCGCCATCCGTGATGCTGGCGTCGCTCAGAGCATCCAAAACATCTTGAGCCATAGTGGCTACGGAACGTTGCAACCACTCGACACAATGTTGTGCTTTACTAACGTTTGAAGCTAGGTCGCCTGACTTCGCGCTCGGCTCCCCAGGATGAGCGCCGCGCCCGCGACGTGCGACGCGCGGTTATCTTCGCGCCCTCGCGACGCCCCCTGGAGGAGTGCAGCGCTCTGGCCCAGGCCGCGACGCGCGAAGCGCGGATATCTTCGCGCCCCTGGGGGTGGCTCATACTAAGAGGAGGGCGAGGAGAAGGAGGAGGAGGAGGAGGAGGAGGAGGAGGAGGAGGAGGAGGGGGTGGAGAAGGAGGAGGAGGAGGGCAAATATGCGGGGGGAGGGCGAAGAGGCCGTAACGGGCGACGCGGTCGTGTCACCCGTTAGGGGCCCTCTTGGGGCCATCGCGGGGCGGTTTTGGGAGTCTTCTGGGACGTGGCACGGCCAAGAGCGGAGGGCTGCTGACGAACCTCTGAAGTGTCTTGTTCATTCCCCATCCTCCCCTCCTCCTGCCCCTCTGGTTCCTCCTCATGCTCTCACGCTTCGCATATGCCTCGAAAGGGACTGCGGGGGCGGGCGAGGGGCACGGGAGCGGGTCCGCCCCTCGAACGAGACCTCTGGGCCGCGCCCTCGTGACTGCTGCCCTTCCCTGAAGATGAGAAGCGCAAGAGGGAGGCGGGAGGATTGGACCACAAGGGATGCTTCCACTAGAAGTTTTCACTAGCGGCATGCGGGCGGCCTACCCCAAGGCAACACGCAATCAAAGATACGAGGCGAACTACGACAAGATGAGGCACTCAATCAATGATGATCACGTCGCTTCGCACCGACGCTGACCTCCTGGATTTCTTGCCCAACTTCGGAAGCCATACGTGACACGGGTGGTACAATGATTTTTTCTTCCTCCTGGTGATCTGCTTCAAATATTCGATCAACACATTGCTGTCTCCGAACAAGTCTTTGCTCACTGGGGTCGGGACAAAGTGGCCTGGCTGCCACGGCGAAACGTCGGCCCAAGACCGTTTGGAAGGCGGCGGCCCATCCTCCACCATCCCAGTCTCCGAGCCGTCCTCGAAAAGATCCGCGCGGGTCCCCATCGCCGCGCCTCGCGCCCCCGACCGATCGATGCGTCGGGGGCCGTTTGAGCCGGGGGAAGAAAGCGGAGCGGGGATGGAAAAGCATTCGGTTTCGTGCGTTTTGCTCCCCCTTTTTTCCCACGGGCGTCCTGGAGGGCCCCTTCGTCGCCGCGGCTGGGCCCGTGTGGAACTCATGGTCAGACAGTACCCCAGGACATGAGAAATATGAGGCAGACGCGCACACGGATTTGGACTTGGATGAAGCACAACTGCATAGCGCATAGCATAGCAATGGATGATGCATAGCGGACGAATGACTTTGATTCTGACCTATGGTTTTTGTAGTGTGAAGCTTCGATCGGTGCGCTTGGGCTATGTATTCGTAGCGTGGTGCGTGTGGGTAAGTTGCGTTCGTTGAACGGTGCTTTTGGGTAAGTTGTATTTGTGCGCGGGAGCGGTTGGATTAGTTGCATTGGTTGCGCGGTACCATTGGCATTGTATTCGTTGTGGCTATTATGTTTGGCATAAGCTGTATAAGTGTCTGGGAACCCTTCCGAGCAGGCTTGTATTCGTTGCGTGGCGCGTGTGGGTTAGTTGTATTCGTTGCGTGGTGCTCTTGGGTAAGTTGTATTAGTTGCGCGGGAGCGCTTGGATTAGTTGTATTAGTTGTTGGGTGCATTGGATTACTTGTATTACTTGTTGCTAGATGTTCGGCATAAGTTGTATAAGTTTCTGGGAACCCGCCCGTGCAGGCATCGGGGCGCGGCAGTAAATGCATAAACAGATATCGGGGCAATACATGCAGTGCAACCTATATGGTGCAACAAATGTGGAGCAGCATATGCGGAGCAATCGATGTGGTGCACTCCATGTGGTGCAATCTTCGTTGTACAACCTATAACCTAAATTGTGAAACATCTGAAGCCTAGGTTGTGCAATCTGTGCTGTGATACATACAGACGTGGTGACATCTGTGTGAAGCAATACTGTGGCGAGATCCATGTTGTGCATCTTATCGAACGAAGTTTACACGACGGACCAGCAGGTCGGCCTAAACGATGGGCGGCGACGAGGCGGCGACGGCGACGACATAGCCGCCAGACCGACCGCCAAGAACCAGACGACGGGCGGCGACGAGGCGGCGACGGGGCGGTGACGGCGACGACATAGCCGCCAGACCGACAGCCAGGACCAGACGTCGGGCGGCGACGAGGCGGCGACGGGGTGGCGACGGCGACGGTATAGCCGCAGGACCAGCAGCCAGGCCCAGATCTTCAGACCACAAGCAAGAAACCCTAAGTGCAAGCACTGTTTGGGAACATGTTGCATATAACCATGTGTTAGGAGGCAACTACTGGGAGGTCTTCGTCGGAAAGATTAAGGAGGACTAAGACCCATTTGGGGGGCTGTTGCGCCGGAGTGGGTCTCGGCTTAAGCGGGATTGAGCAGGATTAAGCGGGATAAGCCGCATTGAGTGGGATTCAGCCAGATGGCTTCGGACCAAGGCAAAATCTAAATGCCCGGGCCAGCCGTGTCCCCACCCGTGTCTTGGACAGCCCCGGGGATTTCCCGGGCTGGCCCCTCTTTGAGTCCTGGGGTGCTTCCTGCGGGTCCTCTGGACGCCGTGACCGCCCAAAACGGTCGAGGAGAGCCCTGACTCGCCAAAACATCGCTCAAAGGCGCTGTCCATGGCCTCCAGATGGCCCAAGACGGCCCCAAGACGCCCAAGGAGGCCCCCAAAAGGCCTCCCAAGAGGGCCCCGAGTGGCCACAATTATTGATTGCCCATCGGTCTTTGAAGGACTTCCGCGTTCTCGCCTTTTCGGCTTCCCGACGCTCCCAGACGGCCCCAGAGGCCAAGGCCGCCTCAAGACGGGCCTCCAAGAGTGCCCTAGAACGACACAAGAGGGCCCCAAGACAGCCCAAGAGACGCTCAAAACGGCCCAAGAGGGCTCCAAGTCGGCCGCCAAAGGGGCCAAACAGAGGAACACGAACCGAAAATCCGAGCCTTCCGCCCCAAGAAGCCCTCGGAGGCCCCAAGAAGCGCCCAGGAGGCCTCCAAGAGGCCTCCAAGAGGCCCCAAGAGGCCCCCAACGGAGGCCCTAAAGGGCTGCCAAACGGCCCCCTAGATCCAAACCGCCTCTAACCCCGAGAAGCCTCCCACGAGATCCCAACGAACATCCACTAGGCTTCATACCCGCAACCCAGACACGGTGGCAGCATGGGCCGAAGGCCATTGTATATCTATCTATAGGTGTATATATATATATATATAGATATAGATGAATTAACTAACTGATGCATACGTACATACATAAGTACGTACACATACAAAAAGAGGCGCCTCCCGAGGCCGTCCCTGATATGGAATCAAAATATACTCGGGACGAAAAACAATCTCCGTGGTGCGGAGATCTGGGGACCCGTGCCGAACCAACACACAGCGTCGGATGCCCAAGTAGTTAATCGAAGGCTCCAATGCAGCCAAGCAGTCTCCTAACGTCCGAAGGAGAGGAGTAGTGGAAGGGAGGACGAGGGGGGGATCATATCAGGTCGGGTCTCATCGGAAGCAGGGTTCACACAACAAGCAACATGCGGCATCGCTGGACAACCACCCAAACATCGATACACATGCAAATACGTGTTGCTGAAAAACGACTATGCGCAACTTGATTAAGTCGCCATCGCAAGGGGAGAAGGAAGACGAACGATCCCCCAAAACACTTTTCGTTGGCTATCCAACCGCGAAAGTTTGTTTTCACAGACCGAGGCAGCGACCTGGGCTAAGGTTGACACCCCCGCGAATGAAGGCACACAACCGCACGGTGCTCCGGCGATCCGCATTGAGGCACGCTTGAAGCAGCAGAGAACGAATCACTTGCGGGACCTAGTCTTGGAATTGCGTGCGTATGGGGCGGTATGAAAAATGCAAGCGCGAAGAAATTGACCAGAAGCGCCCGCTGAGTCCAAAAGCCTGCGCAAACCACGGACGGTGCGGGAGTCCTGTATCCAACTGCCCCTCCTCTTACTCCTCCGCCTCATCCCTCACTCCTCCTCGACTTCACTCCTCCATACTTCCCCTCTCCAACAGTGTCAAAGGCAGGGCCCCCTATGGCGCAACAAGGCTTCATGCCAACCGCACATGGTGATTATCGGTAGTCTGGGCTTGGAGAGAGCTCCACGAGGACATACCCGTTATGCCGTCGATGTAGCTCCTTTTTCGCGGATGAGACGTCCAGATTAAAACATATGCTGGACCCTATGGGCAACTGGCTAACTCGATTATGGAGGTTCTGGAGCGGAAGAGAAATAGGGGGAACTACTGTCTTCTGAGTGGGGGGTGAGGGGGCTGCTGGTCCTCCTCACAGAGCTGCGCATGTCCTACTGCCCTTCTTCCTCCTGCTCTGCTTCCTCCTCCTGCTCCTCCTCCTCGTCTTCCTCCTCCTCCCCCTCCTCGCTCCACCGAGCCCCATATGGGGACCACGAAACGTGTGAGGGGTGCGTCGAGATGGGCGGCGCCGCCACGCGACGCTTGCCCCGACACAGGCGCGTGGCGTGCCGAAGTGGAGCGGCACCGCCATGCGACAGTGGTTACCGAAGCCTTCGGTGCAGCTCCCCGTGGGGCTTGGCGGCGTGCGCAGGGTGAATCAGCACCGGTCTGCCCAACATTCGGCAGTTGCCTCTGCGGTCTTCGGCGGGGCGCCACATTGGGGGCCACGAGACGTGCGGCGGGTCTGCCGCGATGGTTACGTCGGGCCTGTCCCCCTACAGGCCGAGCTTGGACGAAAAATTCAAAATACACTAATAATGCCCTAAACATTCCAAAAAGTTGTCAAAAAATGGTCCCCTGACTATGTCATTACTACTTTTGAATATCCCCCCTGTTGAGGGACAGGCCCGACTTAACGCTATGGGGCGCGGTCGCCATGCGGCCCCTGCCGCTGAGGCCTTCGGTGGAGCTCCCTGTGGGGCCACGAAACACGTGACAGGTGCGCCGACTTGGTGTGGGGGGGCGGAGGGCAAAGGAAAGGATGGGAGGCTGGAGGCAAGGAGGGGCGGGGGAGGAGGAGTGAGGGGTGAGAACACGGGGCGCTGCTCACTCAAAAGACGGCCTGGCGCCACAGGATGATTGAGAACACATTTGCGCTTGCGGCGGGCTGCTTCGCATTGGTGTCCAAGCCTTGCGACCGCACCGGAGTTGTTGTTGAACATCTCGAATAAGGGATCGACTGCAGAATGTATGTGCCCCCGAAGTGCTTTTCAACCGAACCTGCGAAGATGCGAACAGTGTTCCGTTGACCCACCAACATGCGACCTACTGTCGCAGATTCGACGAGGAACCCGAGCTTAGCGTAAATCAATTCTGCGGTCGATCCCCTACTCGAACAAATTGGCGCTTGCCGCAGGCCGATCCGCTCGTGACCGTGCTGCGCCCGCGGCGCGCTTCTTCGCACTGGCGCTCGAGAACCCCGCAGGTCCCCCGTGCAAGGCAACCGCCGCGCTCCCACGATCACAGTCGGACCTAAGCCAGAAGAGCATACCCCTCAATCGACTACACGCAAGAATGGCCCTGGGTAAGAGTGGCCTTTGGTGCGCGGTTCAATGGGGGCCCAGGGGGGACCAAACACGAGCGCGAAAGACGCTAATACCGCGTCGCCTTCGGGGATCGGGGGGCCCCCTTGGGCCCGCACCAGCCCCTGCAGGCCAAAACACACAGAACAGCCAAGGGCAACCTCCCCAGGGCGCGCACAAGAGCATCCAACAGACACAACAAAGTGCACCAGGGTACCCTCCCCGCACCGACCTCGATCTTGCACCTCGGTCCGACTGTATCCATAAACGCCAGGATCGGGCAAAGGCAGCAGGTGGAACATGGGGAGGGGTACCTCACCTATTGGCCAATGGGCAACGCGCTCGCTATTGCGAGTCCGGCAGAAACCGCAACCACCGTAGCAACTTTGCGCCGTGCGTCTTCCACGGGTCGGGCAACTCGATTCGTTGCTGACGCCGCTTTGAAGATCAAGCATGGTACCGTCGCGAGTCGCTCCTGGAATCGCGGCCTGCCATGCGCTTCAGGTGAATGTTTTTCGGGGGGGGGGGGGGGCGCACGTGTGGGAAAAAAGCGCACGTTACCCCAAAGAGGCAATCGGAGGCGACAACAGCCGTTCTCACACATGGTACGTTGCTCGATCTGTACGCTCCATGTCAGACGCCGGCTCTCCCCACGCCTGCGTCGGAGCTCCTGACGTGACCATGGGAGTGGCGCCGCGCTCGTCGCGCGAGCGGCAACCTCCCGCTCGCACGCCGTGATGCGCAGCGCCGGCGGGCAAAAGTGGCAGTGCACGGAAGGCCCAAGTTAAAGTGTTGACTAATAATTTGGTAAATATCTTTATCTGACTTCTGAGTATGGTCCCAATGTTGTAAAACTTGTTTACACTTTTCGCTATTTTTCAATTTTTCATTCGGAGATGTGTCCCTGCACTGCCGCGGTGGGTCCAACAGTGGATCGAGAGTGTGCCTCACGGGGCCCAGTGCTGCACTGCACTCGGCGAAGTCGGCCCAAGCTGCATCCACTGCTTGGCGGAGCACGGCGGCCGCGCGCACGCGGCCCGGGCGTCGCCGCGCAGCGGGGTCTGACGTTGCTCCGGTGCCCGGACAAAAAGTGTCCACACCGACGGCGTGAAGATAATCAGGCATGATGGCAACGATGCTTGCAAGATCCATGTGGCTCGCCCCCCCTTACCCAAAATCCAATGTTGAAGTGTTCATATTTTGTCCCCCGCGCGGTGCCTCGCACCCAACCCCGTCAACTTTGGGTTGGGGGGGCGGGGGCGATGGATATTTATTCGACGCAACTCGATGTCGTATCAAACTGCCGCGATCGGTGTGGACACGTTTTGTCCACCCACCGTCCATCAGCCGGAGAATGCCAGATGCTTCGCGCGCGTGAGTTCCACTGCGCAGTGAACCACTGGCGCAGTCCCCGCGCCGAACATAATCAAAAAGGTGTAAAGCAACAAAGGGCCGCTGAAGGGTCGCGAAAGTGTGCCAAAGGTGCTGTTGCTTTCACCCCCTAGTTGTAGACCCCCCATTACCACTCACCCGAGCATTCCCCCTGCCTCACACATTGCTCCTGGCCTCCCCCCCTTCGACCCCTTTATCCGCCAGCCCCGAAGCATTCCCGATGCCTAAGGTCGACACAATCCAAGGGCGATGACAATCTTAGGGATGCCTAGGATCGGCATTGCGATAAGGTGGTGCCAGGCATCAAAGGCAGGGCTGTGGTCCAGGCCGGTGATTCCTCCCCCTCTCCACTCGGCTCCCGCCCCCGCTTCGGACTCCGTGCCCCGGTCCCTTGGCCAGCCTCTGTTGTTGTCCTTGGTCGTCAGGTGCAGGATCACCCGGAGCTTGTCGCAGGTGTAGACGTAGATCGAGTACCTCGTGCCTGCTGCCCTCTGCATGCCCCCCGGGGCACGCCCCGCCCTCGGGGCACTTCCCCGCCAGCGCTCGCGCCCCGCGGCCCTCCTCGCTCGACCTCTCCTCCACATCTTGGCACGAAGGGTTTTCCGCCGGGACCACCCCCTCATCCTAAGCCGTTGGTTGACAGTCCGAGCCCCGTGGGGGCCCGCAGGGACGAAGACAGATGAACAAAAACCTCCGGACCCGGTTCCCTCAAGACCCGTTCCGTTCATGGCGATCGACCCCTCCAGATTTGCCAGCGAACGCTGGTTGGGTGGCCCCCGCTGCCGCCCAAAATTTCGAGGCATGCGACAACACGCGGCTGGACACCGCGCTCGCATTCTGAACCCTGAGACACGCTCCTTTCACTGTAGAAGCTTCCTTTTTCATGATTTCGGATTTCCCCAATAATGCGGGGCGCTGGTGGTTGAGCCATTGTGCGAGAACAATTGGGGCACTCAAATTTTAGCCAAGGTGGAACCCGCACATTGGTCTCGTGTTATCCACGAAGCGCAATCTGCGTGGTGCAATCAGAATGATGAATTGTGAATGGTGCGTTTGTGTTTAACAAACGACTTGACACATCCCACGCGTGTGAAAACATCCCACCCACCCACCCGCAACTTGGTTTGCAAAACCCATGCGGTGGAGATTGCGATGCATGCTTGGCGTTGGTTGGTGCATCTCTGCGGCCGCGCCACCCCAACAAACACGCGCGCGCAGCAGCCAGCGTGTTTAGCGACCGACGCGGACGCGGTGGTGGCATTGACAGCTGGGCAAATCCCAACAGGCACTTCACTGCGAGTCGGCGACTTGGGCGGGAGCGGTATCATTGCAGCGCCGACGACGGTAGGCACGATGATGATAGTAGCGATACTGGTGGCGATGTCGACAACCACGAAAGCGCGGCCAGTGCGGGCGACGATGGTGATCACGCCGACGACGATGACGGCGTCCTCGCATCGGTGATGATGGTTTCAGGAAGTGTTCGACCTGCGCGCGGCAGACGCGCGAGAGTAGCCCGAATGATTTTATTTGACACGGATCGTGCCCTTCCCCCCCCCAGCACGCGCGCAAGGGCGTGCGAATGATGTCGGCATGCGACGCGAGAGGCCCGCTTGGCATAATGCCATGACGTTGTTGAAAAACCGATGGTTTCCCCAGAACTTCGGAACAGCGCGAACGCACGTGTGAAATGGAAACTGATGTTGCGAAACCATGTGTGTTTGTATGTTTTTGTGGGCGCTCGGTTTCGAAACCGCTACGAAGCCGAATGCTCTTTATTGAAAGAATTCAGAATACGCGCGCGACGACGCGCTCGCTTGCACTTCGTCCCTTTTGCCCATAAGGATTCTCGCGACGGCACGCTCGCAACGGCGTCCGAAAGATTTCGACATGCGCGCGCGAAGCCCGTCTGGTAGCTTGTCCTGAAAGGTTGAAGAACGAATTGCTTTCTTTGAAGAATTCGGAAGAACGCGCGCACAAGTTTTGTTTTGCAAATCCGTGGAATGAAACCTTTTAAAAAAAACAAAATGTGTTGGAGACTCGATTCTGCAATCCTTCCGAAACCGAAGGTGTTGAAGGATTTCGGCACCCGCGCGCGACGACGCGCGCGCGAACTTCGCCTCATGTTGCGCAAGGGACTCTTAAAAAATATGATTGCTGGTGAACGAGTGCGCGCACATATTTTTGGTGTGCATAGGATGGCGGGGGGAAGCGATACCGGCACCCCTGGTACGGTGTAAATTTGATTTCGGATGGACGATGGGGCAGACTCATACTTACATTCCAATACGAAGCCGGGGATCTTCTGACCCAGGTCAATCCAGACCTGGGCCAAAAGGAAACAAAAAAACTGCAATACAGGAAGCAAACTGCAATCCAGGGCTTCGCAGACCCGGGTCAGCCAATATGAGCGGCCGCCTCGCGGCCACGAGCGGCTCGCTAACCCGGGTCAGCCAAAGGTGGTCTTCGCAGCTCTGGCTGACCCCCGTTTGCATTGACCCCCTTCTCTTGAGTCCCGACGAACATGGGATGGGATAGTCCTGGGAAGGGGGGGTAAAGTCTATTCAGAAAGGAAAACTCACTTGCGGAACTCGCAATTGTCAACCCCACTGCTCGCGCAATGATCCCACCCAACCACCCGCAACATGTTTTGCAAAACACATGCGGCAGCGATTGCGATGGGTGCATGGCGCTGGCTGGTGAATCTGTACGGCCACGCTAGCCAGCGCATGCTCGCGCGGGCAGCGGCCAGCTAGTTTGGCGCGACCAGCGCGGCCGCGGTGGCGCTGACCTCCGGACACTTCCCAGCAGACACCTCAGTGCGAGTAGGCCACTTGGGCGGGCACGGTACCATGGCAACGTCGACAACGGTTAACACGAAAATGATAATAGCGACGTTGGTGACGATGATGACAACGGCGACGGAACGGCCAGTGACGGCACCGATGCTGATCACGCCGACGACGCAGACGGCGCCACTGTGTCGGTGATGAAGGTTTTGAAAGAGGTCGACATGCGCGCGCGGCCGACGCGCGAGAGAGATACCCGCATGGTATTATTTGATACGGCCCGTGCCGCCCAGCACGCGCGATAGGGCGTTCGAATGATGTCGACAGGAGCGTAATGCCGTTTGGCAGAATTTAAAGACTTGTGAAAAGAGCAATGATTACCTTGAGAATTTGCACGGGCGCAGCTGTGAATTCTCGGAAACTGATGTTGCAAAACCATGTGATTTTGTATGTTTTCGAGATACTAGATTTCGATATCTTTCCGAAGCCCAAGGTTCTGAAGGATTTCGGCATGCGCGCGCGGCGACGTGAGCGTGCGCACTTCGTCCCAGGCTTTGCAAGGGATTATTGCGACAGCACGCGCGCAAGGGCGTTCAAACGATTTCGACATGCGCGCAACAGACGCCCATTTGGTAGCGCGTTATGACAATATGGACACAACCGAAAATGTTCTCAAGACCTCGCAAGAGCGCGAGCGCAGCTTTTAACTCTGATTGTTGTGTTTTCGGGGCACTCGATATTGAAATCCTGGCGAAACCTTAAAATTTAAAATATTCCGGATTACGCGCACGACGGCGCGCGTGTGTGCACGCCGTCCCATTTGTCGCAAAGGATTCTTGAATACTTCGGATTTCTGATAGACGAGAGGCCACGCATATTTTGTGGCAGAGGATGAGGGGGGTCGTTACCGGGTTGGCTGGGATGACCTGAATTCATATTTTGGAATGTACGATGGGGCAGAATCATGTGTTAATTGCAATACGAAAAGGTGAGCGGTTGAATCCGGGGGGGGGGGTCATCCGAATACTTTGTTAGAAAGGAGCATCAATCTGGTGCAATTGTACCTACCTGGCGCAAAGCAATGCAAACAATGCAATATAAACAAGGAAAACAACAATGCACAGCAATGCCCATCACCAACAAGAAACTGAAAACAATGTAAGGAAAGGCGAAGCAATTCAAGGCAGCGCAGAGCAATACAAGATAATGCAAATCAACGCGAACCAATGCAATGAAAAAGATACAATGGAACGAAATGCCACGTAATGCAAAGTACCGAAGCGCAACGCAATGCAAACCAATGCAACGCAATGTAAAGCAACGCAACGAAGTAACACGCAACGCAATGCTAAGCAATGCAAAGCAAATTAATGCGAATGAATGCAAAACAATGCAAGGCAATACGAAGCAACGCAATGCGATGCACAGGAATGCAAAGCAACGCAAAGCAGCGCAACGCATTGCACATAGTGCAGAGCGATGCAAAGCACAACCACAATGCCAAGCAATGTCAATAACAAGGCGCAGCGACGCAACGCAGTGCAAAGCAAGCAAGAGCAGCGCAGAACAGTGCAACGCGATGCAAAGCCGTGCACAACAATGCAGAGCAGTGCGTGGCGGCCTGAGCAGGCCCAGGCGATGGGCGGCGCCGCGGCGGCGCCGCGGCGGCGCCGGGCCCGCCACACCACACAGCGGCCCCAGAGCGGCCCGCGGGCGCTGGCGGCGGGCGGCGGGCGGCGACGAGGCGGCCGCACGGCGGCCAGAGCAGTCCGCAAGCCCAGCTCCTGAATCCGCCACCGCAGGAGAGCCCAGAATCGAATCGATAAGTCGGACCTGCAATCGAAACGAATCGGACCGGCGGAAGTTGGCGGCCGAGTCGGGAGGAGTCGAATCGGCGGGAATCCGCAGAATGGCAAAGCCTCATGGAGGAGTCGGAATCCACATCGGAATCCGCGATCCAATCGAATCGGAGTCGGAATCCATCGGAATCGAATCGAACCGAACCGGAGGAATCGAACCGAGCCCTGCCACCGTGCTGCTGGGCGCGGGGGGTGCCCTCAGGTCCTTGGCCTGCGTAATCCTCTACGCCTGTCCTCACCCCCGCAGAGTTCTTGAGGGGCAGGGGCCTCAGGTTGCCAGATCTTCGTGGGCTGGACGCGGCTCGTCCGGGGCTCGTCGCGGCTTCTCGCGTCACTATTTCGGGTCCAAGAGGGCCGCAAAACGGCCCCCAGCCCCAGAGGCGCCCATCCCGGCCCCATAGGGCCCAGAGACAACCCCAAGAAGGGTCCAAGATGGGGAAAACGAATCGAACATCAGAGTTTTCTGCCCCATGAGGCCCCCAAGAAGGCCCCCAAAGACCCCAAGATGTCCAACGAGATTCCCAAGAGGCCACGAAGACGCCCGAGGAAACCCTGAAACGGACTCCGAACGGCTTCAAAACGGCCTCCAAGAGGCCCACGAGATGCCTCCCGCGACATCCCAACGAACATGCTAAGGGCTTGTGGCCCGCAACACAGGCATAGTGGCAAGATGGGCTGAAGGCCCAGGAACCGACGTCCTGGTGCCCCAGCGGCCGGTGGATATGGATATATATATATATATATATATATATATATATATATTTCGGCCACCGGGGGCCCGAATATGTCCATATGCATCGCCTGCCGAGGCTCCGAAAACTGACCCTCCAGGCGGTGGTCATGTATAAATTCCCGCCTCGGAGAAGGCCATGAGATGGGAATCCCAAAGCCCAAGCACTGTCTGCGGAGATATGAAACCAAAATCCAGAACCACGACCTCGTAGTCCCAGACAGTGCTTAGCGGGACGGGGGTCCTGCGTAGACTGCCTGCACGCCCGGCCAACCACCATGTAGACTACAGAACGGTGGTTTGGACTGTTCGGATAACCTCTACCTGCGAATGTACGCACCAATAACCACCATCGCACTAGCCACCAAGTCGCTCATCTCAAATCATAGTCAGTCTCCTCCCTGGACCTTCGCCTCCTCCGACGGTCGGGAACGTTTGCTTGGCGTGTCGCGGCGGTGGCCCCGGCGACACGCTTTGCCCTAGAAGCGGCTGGCATGTAGCTCCGCTCCGCGGGAGACTGGGAAATGCTCGGAACGCTGATGCTTGGGAATTGGAAGTGGTTGCCGTGTCGCGCCGAAGCGTGGTGGGCAAGAACTGGCAAAACGACACGCTGACTACGAGTGTCCGACCATACCCCACAGCCGACAACCAGAAGAACCACAGAACAGGTCCGTGATGCATCGGCGAAGGGGTGCGGTGCTTTCCAACATCCTGGCGAAGGGGCGGCGCAAGTGGCAGCATGTTCCAGGAAACTTGCGGTTCTCTCCGACCAAGATCACGCGTTGGCAACATGACGCAACATAAGAAAAAGGACACAAGAGGTGAAAGTGGAGCACTCGCAGACCATAGCGATGATGTCGCGTCTCAGCGCCACGCCTTTCACTTCGTACCTCAGTGAGCATCGCACGCTCGGTTGCTTCCTGTCCTGGCCCTGCGTGCCACTCTTGACGTGTGAACAGGAAACCGATGGGCTTCTGCTGCCTGAACTGCACAATGCGGAGACAGGGCGCAATATCACCGCATCCCTCCTGGACGCATCACGTCTGCATAAACGCTCACCTATGGAGACCGAAACTTTGGCACAAGTAGAGCGCGTGCGGGTATACTGCCGCGCACGTGCCCACAATGTCGGGACCGAAAGAAAGGCGGGCGGATGAGTAGGATGAAGAAGAGGAGTACGAACAGGAGTATGAAGGATCCGATGAGGACGTCGAGGTCATCGAAAAAGGGCGAGGACAATTGTTGCGGAGAACGCGGCCAAGAAGGAGGGTGAGGATGAGGAGGACGGTGATGACGAGGACCACCCCGATGAGGAGAGAAGACGAAAACGATGCCAGCAGTAAGGGGAATATCTGTGGAGAGGAGAGAAGGAGAGAAGAAGAGGACGACGATGCCGCACAAGCAAGGGTGACCACGAGGCCGGGCATGAATCGACCGATTGATCATTGGCGTGGCCATGAGGTCCTGACGTTAACCGTAACACTTGATATTTGTAGTGATACCCCACCTCATCATGAATCCGTATGAGACTACTGCTCATTTTTCCTAGGGGGGGGGGGTACCGCTTGTTGCGGTGTGGCGGGAAGGGGGGAAGATAGTAGTAGTAGTAGTAGTAGTAGTAGTAGTAGTAGTTGTAGTTGTAGTTGTAGTCGTAATAGTAGTAGTCGTAGTAGTAGCAAACATAAGAGTAATAGTAGCAGAAGTACTAGGAGTCGTAGTAGTAGTCGTAGTAGTAGTAGTAGTCGTAGTAGTAGTAGTAGTAGTAGTAGTAGTAGTAGTAGTAGTAGTAGTAGGTCACCGTCGTGGCCGTAGTAGTAGTAATAAAAATAGAAGTGGCGATACTACGGATAGCAGTCGAAAAAGTATAGTCGTTATAGTGGCACTTAGTAGAAGTAAGGAGTTAAGATAAACCAGTTGTAGTAGTAGCACTAGTTCCCTACCTAGGCTCTGCCTAGAGGGTTCTTACTCTCTTAGCTTAAAGGGGCCGGGCAGTGCACAGCGCCCCGGGCGGTTCCCCCAGTCCCCGCCCCGCGGTTCCCCCAGGTACGTCCCCTTAGCTTAGCGTTGCTTATCTCATCTTAGCTTAGCATAGCTTAGCTTAGCTTATCTCATCTTAGCTTAGCTTTAGCTTAGCTCTAGCTTAGATTTACCTGAGCTTTAGTTTAGCATTCTTTTAGCTTTCGCCTAGCTGTAGCTTAGGTTTAGCTTAGCTTTAGCTTAGCTTTAGCTTAGCTTTAGCTTAGCTTTAGCTTAGCTTTTGCTGAGTTTTAGCTTAGCTTTAGCTTCGCTTTAGCTTAGCTTTAGCTTAGCTTTAGCTTAGCGTTAGCTTAGTTTTAGCTTAGCGTTAGCTTAGTTTTATCTTAGCTTTAGCTGAGCTTTAGCTTAGCATTCGCTTGGCTTTAGCTTTAGCGTAGCTTTAGCTTAGCTTTAGCTTAGCTTTAGCTTACCTGCAGCTTAGCTTTAGCTGAGCTTTAGCGTAGCTTTAGCTTAGTTTTAGCTTAGCTTTAGCTGACCTGCAGCTTGGCTTTAGCTTAACTTTAGCTTAGTTTTTCGCTTAGCTTTAGCTTAGCTTTAGCTTAGCTTTTAGCTTAGCTTTTAGCTTAGCTTTTCGCTTAGCTTTAGCTTTGCTTTAGTTTAGCTTTAGCTTAGCTTTAGCTTCGCTTTCTCGTAGCTTTAGCTTAGCTTTAGCTTAGCTTTAGCTTAGCTTTAGCATTCGCTTAGCTTTAGCGTATCTTTACTGTTGCTACTAATGCTGCTTCCCTAGGGGCTTCGACTTCTAGGTAGGGTCGCACTGGGATACTTTTTGTAGACAAAATGATAGTAGTGGCAATAGCCGTAGTAGTAGTACTAATAGACAATGTAGTAGTCGTAGTAGCAGTAGTAGTAGTAGTAGTAGACATAGTAGTGGTAGTCGTAGTAGTAGTAGTAATAAAAAACAACAGAAGTAGAAATAATGGTAGTAGCAGGAGTCGTGGTAGGACGAGTGGTCAGAATAGTGCGTAGACATGAAAAAACAGTATCAATAATATTCGTAGTCGTAGTAATGGTGGTAGTAGTCATAGTCCTAGGAGTAGTAGTACGAGTAGTAGTCATAGTAGTAGTAGTAGTAGTAGTAGTAGTCGTAGTAGTAGTAGTAGTAGCCGTAGCAGTAGTAGTAGTAGTAGTGGTGGTGGTGGTGGCGGTAGTAGTTGTAGTAGTAGCTGTAGATGTTGTAGCTGTGATGGTTCTAGTCCCCGAAGTAGTAGTAGTAGTAGTAGTAGTAGTACTGGCAGTAGTAGTAGTAGTAGTAGTAGTAGTAGTAGTAGTAAAGTACGAGGCGTAGTAGTAGTAGTAGTAGTAGTAGTCGTCGCCGTGATAGTAGTAGTGGTAATAGTAGTAGTAGTAGCCGTAGTAGTAGTAGTCGTAGCAGTTGTAGTAGCAGTGGTCTTAAAGGTGATAGTAGTAGTAACAGTAGTCGGAGTAATACTAGAAATAATAATAGAAATAACAATAGCTATGGCAATACCAGGGGTAGTAGTAGTAGTATTAGCAGCAGCATACATCATACGAGTAGTCGTAGTAGTAGTAGTAGAAGTAGTAGTCGTAGTAGTAGTAGTAGTAGTAGTAGTCGTAGTAGTAGTAGTAGTAGTAGTAGTAGTAGTAGTAGTAGTAGTAGTAGTAGTAGTAATAGAAACAGTAGAATGAATAATAATATAGTATTAAGAATGGTAATCATATTGTTGCGCTTGCGTACACAATTGCGCTTGCGTGCGCCGCATTGCCCGCGTATAAAGAGCAACCAAATGCACCGCAACGCTTGTGTACACCACCGTGCCTGCGTGCACCAAATCATCTGTGTGAACTCGCCCTGCGTGCATCCCGATACCTGCTTGCACCACAACGCTTCTGCACACCACCTGTTACCGCAGCATCAGCGGCACCAATCGTGTGCCCCACGAGGCCCCTGTGTCTGCGTGCAGCTCTCGGGGCCTCCCGACCCCGTCGGTCGTCGTCTGCGTCCTCCTCCTCCAACTCCTTCTTCACCCCCTCCTCCTCCTCCTCCTCCTTCCTCCTCCTCCTGCCCCTCCTCCTCCTCCTCCTCCTCCTCCTCTTGCCCTTCCTCACCTCCTACACAGTTCCTCCTCCGTTCACCCCTTCCTCCTCCTCCTCTCCTCCTCCTCCTCCTCCTCCTCCTCCTCATCCTCCTCCTCCTCCTCCTCCTCCCCCTCCCCCTCCTCTTCCTCCTCCTCCTCCTCCTCCTCCTCCTCCGCCTCCGCCTCCGCCTCCTGCTGCTGCTCTGGCTGCTGCTGCTCCTCCTCCTCCACCTCCTCTATGGGAAACTGCCCGCGTTCACGCCTGTAGCTGGTTTCCCCGCGTCACCGTTACGTGGGGGAGGGGGCGGGGGGGGGGGTAACACGCGTACCGTCTGGAAATAATAGAAGAACGACCTCTCTCTCCTCAGCCTCCTCCTCATCCTTCCCCTCGTCCTTCACTGGTCCCCTCTGATTGCCACTCCTCGTTGCTCGTTATCCTCGCTCCTAAATCCAAATCACTGCGGGGCCTGACCGTTGGAATGCTCTGACGGCCCCAGGGCCGGCACGGGGCTTCTCAGGGCCCAGGGACACACAAAATAAAGACACACATCCCAGGCTTCCCCAATATGTTCCAAAATCTTTTACGGGCTTTCGCCTTCCCCCACCACTTCCAATCTTTTCCCACACTTCTCGAGAAGCGACGATCTATTGTGTCCGTGTGCTTTCTCCCCTGCCGAGCTTCTACTGGCCATCACTCGGACGTCCATTCCCTGTGTTATTTTTTTGGGGGGGGTCGTGCGTGTTTTTTTCGCCAAATGATCAAGGATGCTCCTCGATGGTCCTCGCCGAAGGAAAATGCACACGTCCGAGCGATGCCAAGTCTACCAAAGGCCGACAGCGTGGTGGACGAGGCCGGCACGAACGAGAGCGAAGACGAGGAGGGCAGGAGGGCCCAGACTCGAATCGATAAGTCGGATCTACAATCGAAAGGAATCGGATCGGCGGACATGGGCAGCCGAGTCGGGAAACACCGAATCGGCGGAAACCGGCAGGCTAGTATGCCTCCAATGAGAAATCGGAGCCCAAATCGGAACCCGAAATCGAATCGAATCGGGATCGGAACCCATCTAAATCGGATCGAATCGAGTCGGAGGAATCGAAACGAGCCCTGCGAGGAGGGGCCTGGACCGCAGCTCGCCGACGAACCGGCCCTTCTGGTCGTCCCAGATCTGGACCTGACGGGTCGGGTGCCGAAGAGAGGGGGGGAGCCAAGAAGATGGGGCGTTCGCGCACCGTGGCCCGGACACGTGCGAGAACCAGGAGAAACAGGAGGAGGAGGACGGGGGGGGCAGGAGGAGAAGGAGGAGGAGGAGGAGGAGGAGGGGGGACAGGAAAGGGAGCAGGAGGAGCTGAGGGGCAGGAGGCCCGTGGGGGGGGCTAGAAAAACACAGCATTTGCACAAACACAAGCTTTCGGAGAGCCGCGCGTCGACCTTGGACGCCCCTCCATGGTGCGCAAAACGCGCCAGGGGCGGCGCTGGAAGCGCTGCCAAGTGGCCCCGGCACCGATCAAAAACAGCCGCGCGGACCTCCGAACATGTACGTGTGTGTGTGTGTGTGTGTGTGTGTGTTCATGTTTTCTTCGGCGAGGGGCACGACGTCGAGGACCTGCCGCCGTGTTAGCGGCACCGACATGGGGTGGTGCTTCCACGAAACCCTGCAAAACCGTGTCAGAAACCCACCCCCATGTTCAGCTATGCGTAAAGAGTGACCCCGGCCACGAACAGACCTCAGCTGCGCGACTTTCGGGTGCCGCGGGGGGGCTGCATCGGAGCGCGCAGCCGGCTGCTGTCGCATCGTTTTTTCGGACATCTGGGGGCCCAGATGCGCCCGCACCGAAGGTCACTCGGGCGAAAGGTCACTCCTACGTGCAGTAGGAGCTCGAGAAACCCAGCCCTGAGACCCCAGGACGTCCACCGAGTTCTGGTGTGGGCACGCCACAGCTTCCGTCGCCAAAACCATCGGGGCCCCAGAAACCCGAGGGCACCCTGGAGGCAAGCAGGGTGCCCTTTGGCATGGGTTTCCAGTGCGCGTGCGGCCGGCTCGTGCTCGCCTCCTGCGTCTCGCGGCCCCAGCGGCGGCGTCTTCCGAGGCCGGCGGCGCCGGGGCCCGGCCACGCCATGCGCCGTCGCCGCGGCGGGGAAGCTTAGCGACGAGAGGCCGCCGAACCGCCCAGTTCCGCCTCGTCGTCGTCCTCGTCGTCTTCGTCGTCCAGTGGCGAGTCGTCCAGTTCCATCTTCCTCCTCCTCCTCCTCCTCCTCCTCCTCCTCCTCCTCTTCCTCCTCCTCCTCCTCCTCCTCCTCCTCCTCCTCCTCCTCCTCCTCCCCGTCGTCCAGCTCCATCCCTCTCCTTCTGTTCGTCGTCGTCGTCGTCCTCCTCCTCCTCGTCCTCGGAGCCGGCGAGCCGCAAAGCTCCGTCGTCCTCCTCCTCTTCCTCGTCGTCCTCCTCCTCCCGCAAGTTGTCCAGAACGATGCTGATGAGAACGGCGCATTGTTTTGCACTGGGCAACGGAGAGAACGCTGAGCATGCCAACGCCAGGGAGTGCGGGTCAGTGACACGGGGGCTCACACATCGGCGCTCCGAAAGTTTATTCCGATTTGAAAGGCATGGCGCCGCACGAATGCAACGCAAACGCTATGCTGGAAGGTTGATAGGAAATTATAACGGTTTGCCCGAGTTCGGTTTCTTCGGAATGGGCCCGAAGGCCTCGAGAACGATGTTTTCTTGCGTTTTGCAAAAAGTCCTACGCGGTTTGCACATTTTCGGGTCGTTCGAACCGGACCCGGAATTCGTTTGGTACAAGTCCTATGGGATTTGGCAATTTTCAGGTCGGCCCGTAAATTTTTCGGGTCGTCGTATGACCGAACCCGAAAACTTTTTGAGGAAAAACCGATGCAGTTTGCTCATTTCCGGGCCAGTACACCGCTTGGGACCTAAAATTTTTAATTGGGAAGGGGAACCCGATCCCGCGACCCCGGGCGGGGGTTAGGCTCTGCCCTTGCATTGTCCTGGGCCCCTTCGGCCAAACGGGGTGCTGGGCTGCCCATCGGCGCGCCGACTCTGCCCCCGCGACAGTCCCCATCCGCCCTCGGGCCCCGCGAGTCTGATCCTGCGCGCGCCACCCCAAATGGCCGCGGCGAGCACGGTGGCGGAATTGGGGAATATTTCGGATCGGCGCAATATCGGCGACGAGCGAGGGGGGGAAGTGAGAAGGAGAAGGCCTTCTCAGACGGTTCAGAAGTCCCCCCCCCGCCTTCTGAGCAGTTTTCTAAGCCTCCCCCGAAGACAAATGACACCTCTCAGAAGGCGCGAGGGCTTCTGAGAAGTCCCACCGCCTTCTAAGAAGCCCCCCCCTCGTTCGCCGCCGATCATATGCACGCCCAACCCCGTCGACCTGCACATAGATGTCGAAGCTGCTACGAGCACACACAGAAGTGGAAACTAATCAAATAAAAACGAGAGAGGGGGGAACTGTACACAGCAGAACGTAATTATGCCTATGGCGGGATTCCCGCTCCATGATTGTTGCTACACTGGGTAAGAGTTTCCACAAAACAGCGCTTCCAAAGCCAATCCATGATACGCTACGACAAACTCACGCACGCGGGGCACCGCCCATGGAAAATTACAACGCATGCGCGCGTTTGGCCGAACCGACAACCCCCTGTAGTAAAAAGTGCGTCACGCGGTCGCTCCCGAAGGCACAACCCTGAGCACTTTACTATGCACTTCCAGCCGAGTTGCCAGCCCGCCAAACGACACGCCAATCAACTGATCAACCGAACAAGCGGAGCCATGCAAGCAATCACAGGGGGGCCGGCGGGAGAGGGCGAAGTCCTTCAGATGACGTGGTGTCATCCCGAGGGCAAGTCAAACACACGAGGTCAAGCTTGGTCTATGAAGGCCATGTCGCAATGCCCCCCCGCGCAGCAGACGTCATATCATACCAACGAAAAGAAGGCGGGGTAAGAAGCCTGATGCATCACGTGCCCGCCCTAAAAGGCTGCCGCCCGAATACACGCACTTCGAACGTGTGGTAAACCAGGGTGCTCCGCATGTTCGCATTCCGGCCAAAATCGACGCCAAGAAGGATCTAGCAGAACTGCGCACATGGCAATCCATCCAAACCCATCCTAGCGAAGTGGTAGCAGGAGTATGAAGATGATGGACAGACAGGGGGACGAAGGGAAGAGCAGGCGGAGGAGGCGGAAGACTATACGATGCGTGCATGTGGGGCGACACTTCCCAGCCCGAGGCGTATTCTTTGCCGCTTGACAGCAAGCTCTCACAACATACATTGCAACATGACAAAGGAACCGCCCGCTCGAGGAGGATACCGGGACTAGGAAGAGGAGGGCGATGATGAGCAGGAGGGACGCTGTCTTCTGAATGGCATCGTCAATGCTGCAACGATCCTGAATGTGAAACAAATCAAAGCATAAGGCCTTGGTCAAGCCCCCGTTTGTCGGGTCGTCCTCCGACAGAGTGACCATCGCGAAGATGTTCGTCTCCCAAACCCATTCTTCTGCCAAGCAATGCCGCAGAGGAACACAATTGCCGCGACGGCAACGACCTCAAACGAAGAAGTAATGACACGAATGGTATTGAATATTTCTGGTCGACTCCACTACGGAAAACGACTGACGAGGGCAAACGATGTTACAACGCCCCTGGGAGCGCGATGAACGAGGGTTGGCTGAGAGTTGCATCCTTGCCCTTCGGTGTCTAAACCAATCATGCGACTTGACATGACAATGTAATAAGACATGACAGGGTCAAGGCCCGCTAGAAATTTGCGCGACTGGGCAATTGCAACCGTAGGTCGAAACATCATCCATTCTTCGGTTTCTCCCGCTGCGTTGTGCAACATCCTGGTGTGTAATGTCCTTGTCCCTAGGTCGCAAACAAGGTTCGAACTGAAAACATCTCCCGTTATCATACTCTAATGTTGCCAACTGGGAGGGCCGCACCAACAAAACAACTATGCCATAGACGGTCGGCTTCACATGCAAACTCGCTCCCGAAATGCCCTTTGCCATTGCCTCGCATCTATGATACCCCACAAAACACAAAGACAGCTGGAAAGCATGTGGCATCAACAGTTATTCAGGCATCATGTGTTCAACACCGCTGTCACCATCGCCAAACAACTATTGCTGACCTGCCGCGGCCACCGATACCACAATTCCCTGCTAAACTGGCCTGCCAAACACACCCAACCGAAACTCAAACTGCAATAGGAACCGCATGGTCACGCTTCGATACCAATCGTTGCCACCCAAACGTTCTACCATGGCGGCAACTACCCGAAAAGCTCTCCCACCACGGTTAAACTAGTTCACCCAAAAAAAAATGCGTTGGTAGCCGACGCAATCAACACTCCCCCAACTAGCCAAAATGCCATGAAAATGTCCGTCAGTCGGCGGGATGCCTCTTCTCAGACCGTCAACAAACATGCCTCACTCAACGTGCCTCGTGCAATATCGATCGTGAAGGTTTCAAAACGGCTCGCGCTCATGCGGGCGTTCCCTGTCTTGATGGCGGGATTCAATTCTTCAGATTAGTCGCACGCCATGAGCTACTAAATGGAACGTCGGGCCAAGTGGGGGGGGGGCATGAACTTGAGCAAGGTTCAACGGAACAGCACAATGAAAATGAAGAGGTGTTGCCATGCGCACAACTACCTTTTATGGGAGAAACGGAATGTGAGATCGTGAATCGCGAAACCCTTCTTATCTATGAAATGGAATCATCCACTTTCCAAATTGCGCTCATCCAAACAAACCCTCTTCCCATGAAGATCTCGCCCAGCCTTGAACAGCATTGCAGCGAGCACCACTGACCTCCAAGGAGAAGACATGCTGATGATAATGCGTCCACGTAACAGGAGTATTTCAGAACTTGCAATCACGATGCCCCTTGGATTGCGCAAGAGAATTGGTGCGTTAGTCGACGAACCCATTGCTCCATACGGAACTGTTTTTGTGTGTGTGTGCTGGGGTCTTCAGGTCAATCTCTTGACCTGAAGACCCCAGCACAGGTCTGATTGGCGCACGCTTGTCGCATGGCGTGCATGGTGAGATGCAATGGTTGCACAACAATAAAACGAAGGAGGAGGCGTCCAAGAAATGAACAATTACGAAATGAAGAGGAACAGCCGGACATCGCCCTAAGCTGCGTTTGATGTCCTTCGTGTTATCTTACCTCTCTCTATCTCACTCCCTTTGCTCCCTCTCTCTCTATATATATATATATGCCCCCCTCTCTTTCTGTCGTTGTCTCTCTCTCTCTCTCTCCTCCCCTGTCTCCCTCTCTCGCATATGCACATATGTACATGTATATACATCTGTGTAATATGTACGTATCCGTTCCTTCAGTTGTATAAGTCAATGTGTTTACATGCGTGTTATCTCTCTCTCTCTCTTTCTCTCACGTGCACTCAACTAATCCGTATGTGTGTGCTTCACACATGCTCCCCTTATGCGGTATAAAATGTACCAGTGAATTCATGGTCGAGGGACGCATTCCAGGTATGGTTCAGGCAAATATTTCAAGCATAATCGCTTCCTTGCGTGAGGGATGGTGTCAAGCATAATCCTTCTGCGTGGGCTTTGCACAAGTTCCTTGGGGGAGTTTACATCACCCCAGAACAACTCTCGACGAGGCGCAACTGCTGGAGAAAATCCCGAGACGAACACACTTCCGAGAACCAACGGAAACTTCCTACCAATCCGCTTACGACGACGAAAAAGTTATCACCCACCCAGGTCCAGAGGGCGCACGTGAATCAGGGGGGGCCTGCTCAGGGGGAAGACATCGACCTGTAATCGGCGATAAATCGCCGATACATCGGCGATAGGCCCCCGATGGGGAAACCACACGGTCCCGGGCGGGGTGGGCCTATCGGGACCCTGTCGGCGATCGATGGGCGATTGGGGGTCGATGCGTTCCCCCCTGAACTCATCCCCTCCTAACTCACGAGCGGCGGGCATGTCCGTGTCCGCGCCCCCGCCGTCTGGATTGCAGTGCGCGGCCCCACGGATGCACAACCCCACGGCTACTCAACGGGCGGAGAGCGGTATGGAATCAACTGTTCCGCCGTTGGGGACGCCTGCCCCTGGGCGGCGGGAGAAGTCGTGCGCTTTCGGTGGCACCGTAGGGGTATAAGACGTCCAACCGCCGAAGGGCAGGCGTCACCGAGGGCGGAAAAGATCAGGTTGTGCCTTTCTCCGCCCGCCGAGGTGCGCGGGTCGCACGGACACGTTCCGCGCGAGGCACCCGCGAGGAAACGTCCCGTATCTGCGGGGTCGCGGCCCAAGGGCTAGGTCGGTCATGTCCTCCTACAGGCGGATTTTGGAGGAAGACTGAACAATAGTCAAACAGTTTTCAAAACTAGTTAGCCGAAGAATACTCCAAAACTCGTCACGATACTACTTTTGGCTATTTCTGGATATTCCTCCCGTTAGAGGGGCACACGCCCGACTTGACCCAGAGGCCCAAAGGCCCCGCCCGCGAGGCCGCGGATAGGGACACGCGACTCCCGCGTCAGCGCGATCGTCGCCCCCGAAGTCTTCAAACCCCTTCTGGGCTCGGCCGCCCTCGCTCGGCGGGAGAAAGCTATGCTGAATCCTCGGGGGGCCTTCGTCTGTGCCCCCGCGGCCCTATCCACGTCGAGTCGGTGTCGAATCCATGCCGGGCTCGTCGGATCCGCGCAGAATCCACGCCAAGTCCGCGTCGAATGTGCGCCAAGTCCGCGTCGACTTCGCACAAAGCCCGCGCCGGGCACGAAGAAAGACACCAATGTTGAGGACAGGCGAGGTCCGTCGAAGATGCAACGTACAGAACCGACGGGAACGTCCCAAAACCTCGAACCTCGAAACTTCGCCCCCTTTCCTGAGCCCATCCCCCCCGAACGTTACCCCTGTGCCTGCTGACCACCGCCTGCTCCTCCTCGTCCTCCTCTTGCTTCCTGATGGGGTGTGAGGTCGTCGATTGCCGCCCTCCCTCTTCCGCCTCGTCCTCCTCCTCTTCTGAGGCAAGCTACAAGGCACACACCTGGAGCGTAAGCGTCCTCCGTCTCATCATC